TGAATTAAAATATTTCCTAAATTATTATTAACTTAATTAGGATTTCTGCTGGACCACTGTACAATAATTATTAAGTTCGTTTTCATAGGTTCCGGTTAAATTAACGGCCATTGGCAAAAAAGTCGTAGCTTATGAAAACTCACTTAAAAAGGTCACCCGCGAGAAATCTTGCAATGATTTTTCAGGACCTTTCATCATTTTTCACACTTTTTAAATAAAAAAAAGACTGTATTTAGTATCAAACAATTTCGGTTGAAAATATTTGATTATCTACACGAGAAAACGATATATATATGAACAAAATTGAATTATTTTTGGGCTGATATTTCTATCTTAAATTTCGACCTCCATTTATTAAAATAGATATGCCACTTGATTTTATATCCAGTTAAAATTGATAAAATATCCGAAAATTATTAGATATTTACTGGGCCTGCTATACAATTCAGTTTCAATTCAAAGTATCCTTTCACCTGTTGAAGCTTTTCCAAAGGCCACTTCCAAAAATCTCTTATGGAAGGAGACGATACTCTGATGAAGTGTGAGTAATTTTTTGTTTCACTCACAGAGAAGAGATTTTCAAATTTCAAAAATTGGAGAGTTAGAAATGGAAAATTTACGAAGGGTGAACCGCAAGGGTAATCTGGTGTACAAATTAAGAGGAAATCTAAAGCAATCAGAGGCAATTATCATCATTTTGCCTTCAACAATATGCACAACAACAAACGAAAAACAATTCTGGAAAACACACTTTCACTCTTGAATAACAGGTTTAATAAATAACAATCTAACAATTCAAGTGACTAACTGAAATCCTAATATATGTGACGTTTACGTTGACGTTCAGTTATCGGGTGTACTGGTGTATACCTCCAGTCCCTGGTCGCGAACGGGTTGCTACATTCCGTCCTGTTTTTTCACCCTCAGAGGTTCAAGTCGGCCTGTGACGTGAGTCCCTCCAAGATCTTGGCTCCATTTTGGTCTCCAGGCCCTGGTGAATTGTCTTCTTGCTTCTTTTCTTCCGGTGCTTGGGGTACTGATATATTGTCTGATATTTTGTTAAAGTGAGAAACATGTGTTTCAATTATTTTTCCATTTTCAAGTATTTTCGCCTCATTTTCATTTATTTCCATTATTCCATATTCCCTATTTTCATACTAAGTTGCGAGTTTGTGGGGAAATATTGTTTGCTGCACGAGGTCTTTATCTCCAGGTTTTAGTATGGTGTCTCTTCTTGGCTTCTTTTTGTCCTCTCGTTCCTTTCTTTTTTGCTTTTTGATAACATCATTGTCATCTGCTTCTTTATCAATTGTATTTTCCTTACAAAGGTCATTTATTGAAGGAACTTTATCTCGGATTTTTCTATTAAAAACAAGTTCCGAGGATGATTTACCTCTCGTACCTTGTCGTACATTGTACATCAGAATAAACTTTTGGAGTTCATTTTTATAATTATTTAATCCGTTGTTGTGACATATCTGTAAACGTTTCAATAGTGGATGGTTCATATTTTCAACCAAACCGTTAGCTTGTGGCCAATAAGGTGGCGTGTGAATTAACTCAATTTTATTATCTATGCAGTATTTCTTGAGCTCGTATCTTATGAACTGTCGCCCATTATCGGATCTAATAGATTTGGGAATGCCAAGTTTTGAAAATAATTGAATGAGGTAATTTATTTTTATTATGGATGTGGTTGATTTTAAGTATTTTATTTCCTGATACTTCGAGAAGTAATCAATGATAACTAAAATTCCAGCAAAATGGACGATTATGAGGCAACAATAGTAAAAGATTCACCTATCACCACAAAGTCATCGAGCAAGGACGAGGAAATGAACAGTAACAGAGAATGACAAATCGAGACCAATATGGCGGCCAGTCGTTCTAGATCGACGTCATCAAGAAAAATGAAAAAATATGGTCAGAAATGCGGTGTTGTGGTGAAACGCATCCACCCCATGCAAGTATAGGACCTACCAGTGCGATATTTGTAAGAAAGCAGGTCATTTAGCTAAGGTTTGTTCAACAAAAAGAAGTTTTAATTTTGTAGAAAAAAATAATGGGTATGTACAAAATTTGGATTATTATTCTGATTCTGAAGATGATAAATTCTATATTGAACAAGAAACTACAGCAGCAAGTTTTGTTCCACTAAACCCCCGCATTATGCCATTGCTTATATCAGCATATTAATATTATATGAAGGAATCTAAGATTAGAATCTAGTTAGTTCCTTTGTACCGTTCTTGAGAAAATAAAGTTTTTCAAACAGGGTTTTCTGTTTATCAGTCACGTAACTGGCGAAGTCGGTAGTGCGTTTTCGAGAGTTAGTCCCGGTTTAGCAGAAAATTTGGGTTTTGCGGGTCGTCGAAAAACCAAAATTGACTTTTTGTGTTAACGATTAACTGTCTAACGAAAATCGTTCGTTGAAACCTGAAAAAATAAAACTCTTATAACGTGCGAATGAGCTCACGTAGTCGTGGATTGAGGAACAAAAATCGTCCGACAATCTGAGGTACAGACAGAGGAACAAGCATCGTCCATCAGCCCTATTGGTACGGATAGAGGAACAAGCATCGTCCAAAGTCCATAAGCAGCTAAGTTAAACCAAGTTTATGCCTATCAAAGCGTATTTGATATTATTACTGTGAGTAATCCAATTTTTTCATATTTTCCTCATAAAATTGAGTTTATCCATTTTATTTCGATTTATAAAAGTGTAAACATTTGTTTTATCACTTTTCAAAAAACTGGAACGTGATAACGAAATAGAAGACTTAGCAGGTTTTCTTGAAAACTTAGTAATAAATAATTTATTTGAAGAACTAATCAATATGGCTAATCCAAACTATCATTTAATCAAATACCAAGCTGCTAATATTCCACATTTTGATGGAAATACTAGAACCTTAAGTAGATTTATCACATCATCTGGACATTTCCTTCAAAATCATCAAAATAGGCAAAATCCAGCTGATCCTGTTTATTTGATACTGTCATTGGAAAATTAACAGGTAGAGCTGCAGATTTAATTGCATCTCGAACAGAGCTTGACACATGGCAAAAAATAAAAGATTCTTTAATTATCACATTTTCCGATCCAAGATCTGAAGATTGCCCTATGCAAGACATATTAACTATAAAATTAGAAAAAAGTGAGTGTCATAATTTTGGTTTGAAATTACAAGACGTTAGAAGTCCGTTATTTTCAAAAATTAATAATCCCAACGATCCTGTCAATGTGAAATTATTAAAAATTCGACAATTTGAAGATTTGTGTTTGAAAACATTTATCAATAATCTTAACTGTCACATGCAGTTGGTAGTAAGACCCTAAGATCCTGATTCACTCCAACAAGCTCTTGCGATTGTCAGAGAAGACAAAAATTTTCTTCAATTCAAAAACAAATCGAACCCCAATACTAAAAATATGCCTACTGGAAATAATAGTAGCAACAAAAACAAAAATCCTTTCAATAATACATACAATTTCAATAGATCAGTTTAAAGAACAAATAACAATAATCAGAATCGAAGTATCCGGCAACACTCGAATTAATACAATTCAAAGACCTCGCCAAAATAATTTTGTTACACAAGAATTATTTAATCAATCTGTGGACACTGTATCTGAAGATAATACAAAAAACCAAACTGAAATTGACTCAGTTCAAAACTCTAATTTTGACGAAACCAATAATTTTGATCCAAATGATTACAATAATTATTATCAACCTTATCAACCTGATAACAATTATATTGATCCGTTTGTACATGTACAATATGTATGAGAAAACCAATTTTCAAAATAATGATTTTCAGTATCAAAATTTTCAATTGACCCCGAATTCCGACAGTGTGACATAAATTGTCTCGATAACTATAATACCTCTGATTTACCAGTCATAATAATTCCTGAATTAAATGCTAAATTTTTAATTGATACGGGAATTGGAACAAGATTTATCAATTCGCCATTGACATATCCCGACTTTATTTTTAATGGATATTTTACATTTAGGACAGCCCATGCAATTTCTACTCATGATGAAGTTATAGATATTCCAATCTTTCCTTCACTCAGGAAAAATGGTCATCAAAAATTTTATTTATTCAATTTTTCCGAAAAATTCGATGGCTTATTAGGCGTTGATTTTTTAATAGACATAGGCGCTAGAATTAATTTACAAAACTCGACTCTAGAGACATCTCAAGTACACATCGTCAGTACACAAGAAAAGTGGCACAAGTCAAAATTTGGATTTTTTCGGTTTATTATGATTTTCATATCATAAAAGGGTATATTTTCATAGGAAAAAACGACACATTTTTAACCGTAAATCATAACCGCTAGATGACACTAGTGTCACTTTGGCGCGAACCGAAATTTCTGTTGACTCCATCTTGAAAACCGTCATATCTCAGTACGCCTGTGACACTTGTCGGGGAAGGTGCTATTGTTTGTTCGCAAAAGTGGCATATTTTAAGTTAGGTCATCGAGGGATAAAAGCTATTTGCGAGAAAAGCGACACCTTTTGAGTTGCGTCACTTTTGAAGAAAAGGTAATTACATATTTCTTTATTCTCTTACCAACTCTACGTAATATTTTAAGTTATGCCAGTTTACTTGATAAATAGAATTAGATTTTTTGTAATTTTTTAAGTTATGCCAGTTTTCTTGAATTAATTTTTAATTTTTTTTCGGAACTTTGTAATTGTGTCACTTTTCTTGATTAACATTATACTTATCTAATTTTTTTTTTAGGACGAAAATGTCATCAAGAACAAAATTAATATTACAATTAGTCAAGGATGGCGAGAATTGGAGGTCTCCAAATCAGCTTAACGATAGTAAGTACCGATATTTAAGAATGAATTTACCTGCTTACTAGGGTAGTGGTTCTGACTATCAATGACTATTGCTTTTTCTTTTCATTAAACAAAAATGTATTAGTCAAAATAATATTCCTATTTGTTTTATTTCCTTATTACTTATAGATAATCTAAACATTGCCAGAAACATCGAAGATAGAGCTAATTGTCCCAACTCAGTCACAGATAATCACACAACCAAAAAATGTTTCGTAAATTTTGATGAAGAACAGCATAAAATACAAACCTCTTCAATGGTAAAGAAATTAGCTTCAACTACTGAAAATAATGGTAGGTACTCAATTTCTGATGATTTAGTTTTCAAGATTGAACAGTAGGTGTTAAAACTGAAAAAAAGCTATGAGACGATTCTTTTAATTTTATTTAAGAGAACATACAGATTAGACAAGAGGAACAAAAAACAGCAATATTCCATGGTGATACTGAGGCACTAAATAAATGTGTCGAGAATGAATCGCTTCCAAATTAAGATGATGAAACACAGGAAACCCAATCTAGCTTCCAGAGAGAATTTACATCAGGAACTATTGGTATACCTACCTATCCTTTTATTAACTAAAATCATTGTCTTGAATAATTGAATATTTCAGAAGGGTTAGTTCCTGATTTAGAGGATGATCAGAGTATAAACTCAGATACAGATTCTAGAAGCTCTTCAAAAAATCCTTATTCTTCAGATGATTCAATAAGGGATCCGGATTACGAAAGTTCTTCAAGCAGTTCTAGCAGCGATAGTGAATCTGAAAATAATAATGTAGGTCCTGGTAATATGCACAATTTGGAAGATACTGAAGCTGACCCTCAGAAGAAGGCTAAAAAAAGAAAATCGTGTCCCGAAAATTGGCGAACGAATATTTTAAAATGGCTAAGGAATTCAGGAAAGTCGTATGTTTCTTGTGGCAAGAAACATCAACAGGTCGCAGAACGAAAAAAAGGCCCACCTTGTAACGACACTAAGTGCAGATTAAAATGTAGCTTAAAGATTCTGGGCGACATACGAGAAGCTATTTTCACAGATTACTGGAATCTAGGTGACTTAGAAAAACAGCGATGCTTTTTGATGGCAAATATGGAACAAATAAATCCCAAATACCGATACGTCAGGGATGGAAGTTATCGCAAACCTAACCATGCTTTTTATTTTACAGTTGGCGGCAAAAAACACCGCGTCTGCAAACTGTTTTTTAGGACAACGTTAGGTATTTCCGACAGAGTGCTTAGAACTGTGATTGATAAAAAAACTCTTTGATCGGGTGGAATGATAACCTCAGCGATGAGGGGCAAGCATGGAAAGCATACACGAGTGGATGAAGAAATTAAAGATGACGTTCGAAATCATATTGATTCAATTCCCAGAAAAGAAAGTCACTATTCGCGTGAAGGCACTTCCAGAGAATTTATAGACGGTGGAAAATCATTGGCAGACATCCATCGTGACTATGTGGCTATTTCTAAAGCTAAAGAGCGGCACTATGCGAATTATCTTATGTTTAGCAGAATTTTCAACACTGAATATAATATTTCCTTTTTCATACCCAAAAAAGATCAGTGCGAGGATTGTATCGCATATTTTAATGCATCGGAGGAAGATAAAGTGACTTTAAAAGAAAAATACGATACACATCTTCGCGAGAAGGAGCTTTCTAGACAGGAAAAACAGAACGACAAAAAAAACAATGACGACAATACGATTATTGCTGTATATCTACAGGCAGTACTGCAGTGTCCCAGGGGAGATGTGTCTAGTTTTTATTATACCTCAAAGCTGAACGTGTTTAATTTTTCAATATACGAAATGAAGACTAACACTGGGCGATGCTTTGTTTGGGATGATTCCGAAGCAAACAGAGGAGTTTGCGAAATAGGCACCTGTGTATTCAAATACCTTCAAAACCTGGAAACATACGCAACTGAAGATAAAAAATTAGATGTAATATTCTACTCGGACAATTGTTGTGGGCAACAAAAAAATCGATTTATGTTTGGAATGTATTCGTATGCTGTTCAAAATCTCTCATTTATTAATTCTATAACACACAAGTTTCTCATCAAAGGTCACACTCAAAATGGAGGGGGTAGCATGCACTCTGTTATCGAAAAACAAATTAAAAAGGCTCTTAAATCTGGGTCCATATACGTTCCTCAACAGTACATTACTCTTATGCGGACCGCAAAAAAATCTGGGCAGCCTTACATAGTAACAGAAGTTAGTCACGAGGATATACTGAACCTTAAAAGATCTCATTACTATCGGATCTAACTTGAAAAATACTGAAAATGAATCAGTGAAAATTGGAGAAATAAAAATGGTAAAATTCATTCAAAATGAAACAAATAAAATATTTTACAAAACTTCTTATGAAAAAGTCGATTTCAAAATTATTGAAAGAAAGCAACGCAGAAATAATAAAAATAATGTTTCAACATTAAGAAAATTGCATTCTACTAGACCCAAATTGGGTGAAAAAAAAAAGGAAAGTATTTTATCTTTATTTAAAAACAATGCTATACCTAAATTTTATTATAATTTTTATAAAGACCTTTAAACTCACACGTTGAAACAGTATTTATGAGTTATTTTGTTTAAGGCTGACACTCTAGAATGTTGAGTTGTTTATTTTTTGTTATAGAATTAGGTTTTTTTTATTGTTAGTGTTAGTTTCTGACAAAACTATTCAAGAAAATTTGTTTTTTGTACTTAGGAATAGTATATAAGAGTTCTGTTTTTATTTAAAAGTTTTTATTTTGTATTGGAATATACCAAAAATTTAATTAAACAATTTTCAAGTAAAATTTGCCGTTTTTGTTACGTTTATGATACATATTTTATCCAAAAATAGAATATAATTTTTCGAGAAAACCTACACAAATGGAAATTTTTCTAAAAAAATCCTATAATGTAAACCCAAAATTGAAATCAATGGAAAAAGTTACTAAAAACCAATTCTGAAACCTCTAAATGTTTCACTAATACCACAAAGGACAAACTTTCTTCTTCAATTTCCATAAACTTTTAATCGAAAGTAAACATAATCTTCCAAATCGCTCTCCTGTAAAATTTGATTTTTTTGAGTTGTGTCAGTTTTCTTGTGTACTGACGAATACCTTTACAATTTCAAAATAAATTACATCAAAACGTAACAAAATCTAAACAATTACAATTTCATGGAATGATTATACCTCCTCGCAGTTCACAAAAAATTAAAGTACCAGTGAACCAAGCGAACGGAATAGGCATACTACACCATCTGAACTTAAAAAATGTTGCAGAAATGCCAGAAGCATTAGTAACTATAGAAAACAATTTTTTCTTGTTGTTGATACAACAATAAGTAATTTTCGAGAAAATCTAGTTAAAATCAAATTTGAAGAACCTCTCGAAATAGAATCAATAAATGAATTTGAAAACAATTTCATTGAAAAAATGGAAACTTATGTTAAAATCGATAATTTGAATGACAATAAATTGAAACAAAATTCAAAAAATTTACGTTTAAATAATTGCAATAAAGAAAAATATACAGCTATTCGAAATCTTTTCTATGAATATCCTTTGACCTTTTTAAGGAAAATACAATTGATAAAGAAGCAGATGACAATGATGTAATCAAAAAGCAAAAAAGAAAGGAAAGAGAGGACAAAAAGAAGCCAAGAAGAGACACCATACTAAAACCTGGAGATAAAGACCTCGTGCAGTAAACATTATTTCCCCACAAACTCGCAACTTAGTATGAAAATAGGGAATATGGAATAATGGAAATAAATGAAAATGAGGCGAAAATACTTAAAAATGGAAAAATAATTGAAACACATGTTTCTCACTCTAACAAAATATCAGACAATATATCAGTACCCCAAACACCGGAAGAAAAGAAGCAAGAAGACAATTCACCAGGGCCTGGAGACCAAAATGGAGCCAAGATCTTGGAGGGACTCACGTCACAGGCCGACTTGAACCTCTGAGGCTGAAAAAACAGGACGGAATGTAGCAACCCGTTCGAGACCAGGGACTGGTGGTATACACCAGTACACCCGATAACTAAACGTCAACGTAAACGTCACATATATTAGGATTTCAGTTAGTCCCTTGAATTGTTAGATTGTTATTTATTAAACCTGTTATTCAAGAGTGAAAGTGTGTTTTCCAGAATTGTTTTTCGTTTGTTGTTGTGCATATTGTTGAAGGCAAAATGATGATAATTGCCTCTGATTGCCTTAGATTTCCTCTTAATTTGAACACCAGATTACCCTTGCGGTTCACCCTTCGTAAATTTTCCATTTCAAACTCTCCAATTTTTGAAATTTGAAAATCTCTTCTCTGTGAGTGAAACAAAAAATTACTCACACTTCATCAGAGTATCGTCTCCTTCCATAAGAGATTTTTGGAAGTGGCCTTTGGAAAAGTTTCAATAGGTTTCAATAGAAATATCAGCCCAAAAATAATTCAATTTTGTTCATATATATCGTTTTCTCGTGTAGATAATCAAATATTTTCAACCGAAATTGTTTGATACTAAATACAGTCTTTTTTTTATTTAAAAAGTGTGAAAAAAGATGAAAGGTACTAAAAAATCATTGCAAGATTTCTCGCGGCTGACCTTTTTAAGTGAGTTTTCATAAGCTACGACTTTTTTGCCAATGGCCGTTAATTTAACCGGAACCTATGAAAACGAACTTAATAACTATTGTACAGTGGTCCAGCAGAAATCCTAATTAAGTTAATATTAATTTAGGAAATATTTTAATTCATAAGAGTTACCTATGTTTATAGAGACCGGCTTTTGAATAACACTTTTGAAACTATAGCCAATTCAACCTTTGGTATTCCAGGAAATCATTGTTCCACCATTTGTCGAAGTCTCCGATATTTTTAAATATTACTACTACTTGTTGAAGCTTAATTTCACGCTTATTTGATTCGGTCTCTATTCAAAAGGTAACTTAAGAGGTTTTGGTGAAATAGTTTGTGGAGAATTTTGCGGGTGGCCATTTTTGAAGCGGTTTTTTACTGGCACTGGGGATTTAATTTAACCGAAACTTATGAAAACTGATTTATTAATTGTACAGTTGGTCCAGCAAAAATCTTAAATAGAGTGTTAATAATCATTACTATTAACTATGTATACCTAGCAGATTTTAGCTGATATTATTACTTAGTGCTTATCAAAGTATTGTTACCTAATTTAATTTCATCGCAAAATGTGCACAATTATAATGTAGAGATTTCTTGCGGGTGACCTTTTTAAGTGAGTTTTTAAAAGTTACGCTTCAAACCGGAATCTATCAAAACACACTAAATACAATGTAAAGCTGGTCCAGAAGAAATCTTAGTTATTTCAAGGTTTTACTATTATCTAATTCAGAAATTAATTTTAGTTCTTGATATCCCCGAAATTTTGGATGAGGATCGATTTTTTGAAAACTAAATTTAAATATACTTAATTCACATAAAAAAAATATACATATTTTTTTGAATCTGATCACATTTTATTTGTAATACATACTTAGTTTTAAATTCGATCTCCGTTCAAAAAGTAGGGGATTGATTGGGATGACGACTTGAGCTTGAGGTGTATTAGTTTTTAAAGACTTCTCGCAGTAGATCTTTTTCAAGTCAGTTTCTATAAGTTGGTGTTTGTTTTTTTTTGATCTCATCTCAGAAGTCTCAATTTTTAATGTAGATATTATTATTTTCTATTTTAAAATTATTATTATTTTGAACATTATTTGAGTGACTGGATTATGAGCTTTTTTTTTGTAAGTCTGGAATGCTAGAAAAAAGAAATTAAAAACCCAAATTCCAATAATACATTTCCTAGATTCAATTTTGTTTTCTATGATTTCTTTTTTCTTGTATATTATTATTGTTTGTTGTAAATAAGTGATTTCATTCGCTTGGATCTGTTTTAAGCCAGTTTTTCTAAGTTGCTGCAATTTCTTCACGTTGATAAAGAGTTTGAACTCAAGTAAAATGTAAAAAAATTGATCCAATAAATTGTACAGCTGGTCCAGCACAAATCATAGTTAGGGATCCTATTTTAATAAAAATTCTGGAAACTGAATTTCGAGGAAATTCACATGAAAAATATTTTTTGTGTAGTTCTTATAAATTGCCTTTTTGCTTTTTTTCGCGTTGAAAAGTTGTATTTTAATCGGACTTGATTAATTGAAAAGCAGAGGTCAGCAGAAATCCCATCTTCAAGGTATTTGTAGATAATAATGTTGTGTTATAGGTACTAAGTTTAGTTTTTATTATTTTAATATTATATTTAGGAATATTAATTTTGTAATTTTTCTGTTTTATCTTTCTATTGTATTTAAAATTGGTTTTTATCAAATATTTGTTTTATCTTTGTATACTTTTATCTGATACCTATAAATCAGGTCGTAACTTGTTGGGGTACATACCAATTAGCTATTAGTGATTTCTTGCGCTTGAACCCTTTTTAGGTCATTTTTTTTTAGCCTCTACTAACCAAGAATGCGGTTGAGGTACGTACCTAACTATGTGCTGTGAACTCAAGAAGAATTAGTTAGACTATTTTCATTCATGTATACGTTATCAATATTATTGTCATATAAATAAATGTTACCTTTCTTCAGTTCACTCAAAAATATTGCCTTTCTTATTTTCTTTATTAGTGTGGCCTCAGTCCATGCAAATTTAATTGGATTTCTATAATCTTTCACCACGTCAATCGTCTCTCTCTCCCTCCATAGTTCTTCTTTTGTTATTCTGGAGCCTTTTTTAGGTTTTCTATTGCCTTTCCATCAATGGTATCTATAACTTTGTTGATTTTTCGCATACTAGGCATTCTGGTTCTCAATTCTCCCTTATACAGGGTGTCCCCCTAAGGTCGACCAGGTACGATATTATGGAAACCATAGACCTTACATAACTTGAAAACGAATGCAGATATTGAATTGCGGTTCGTGCCAAAATGTAGATATTTTTTTGCTCTTTGAGCACAGCAATAAAAAAAATAATATCCTGCAATTTGGATTTTTCAAGAAAATTAGAAAAAACTGGATCTTGGTTAAACAGCGCCATCTAGAAGAAGCGGTGGGAGCTATCGCACCGAACGAAGTGGTGTTCTTAATAATCAGTTTGGATGAGGGGTATGGAGGATACAACAATTTTTAAAACTATTTTTTCACCAACTTTCCCCACCCATATTAGTGAAAATACGGAAAAAGCCCTATAAC